ATTATTCTCAAATTCTGATCTGTTTCAGATCTGGACTAATGTGCCTAATTTTCTTCCTTTTCCACCTGACATTTTTTCAGATAAATGAGCAGGTGGGGGAGAATTTCTCTTTTTGCAGCATGTTTTCTCTTTGTTTCCCATTCCAAAATATCAGATCTGAGTGTCACTCCTGCACCTTTCTTTGTCCCTGCCCTTGCTACTCACCAGGTTCAAAGAGGCCAAGAAAAGAGGGCAGGGATTTAAGGCCATGCCAGGAGGTTTGCAGAGGAAGACAAATTCAATTCTCCTTTCCCAGCCTTCACTGAGGATCTGCTCTCCCCAGCTCTGCACTGGGCATTGGGGATCCTGGTTGGGGAGGTTAGGGGGGACACAGAAGGGAAAAATGGCATTCATACTCGATGGTTTGCTCACTCAATTGTTGAGGCAAAATGAAAACAGATCTATAAGAGAGCAAAGTCAGCTGAGGTCAAGAACTTACCGTTAGGAGGCAAAAAGCCCCAAAGGATTTGAGAAACAGATGAGACCACTTTACTAGGTAAAACTCCATAAAGAAAGTGAGCTTAGCACTAGATTGTCCCTCTCCTCCCATTTCAGATTATTGGCATTTCTGCAATGAATATCTATAGCATATCAGACCATTCATTTATATGTGTTGTCTTATATGATCCTTGCATGAAGACCAAAAGCTAAGAATTGTAATCACCATCTTTCAGATGAGGGGACAGATTTCCAGTGACTTTCTCTACATCATACCACTATTAAAAGAAGGAAACAGCTATGAACCCACATTCACACAGCCCCAAAGCTCCTGCTCTTTCTTCTCTGCGCTAGCATTTCACTGAATACATGTGGAAGGGAGCCATGTATTTTATCAAGCTGCATTGCAGTGCATGAGTTTTTAGTATTTGTGTGCACATGTCAACAGGCATGTTGATGTGCCTGCTGGGTGAGTTGTAATGATTGCATTTTGTGTGACTAAATGCATTTTTGCTGGCATGGCCTGGTTCAAGGAGAACAGGAAAGGAAGCACAGAAGCCCACTGTATGGGAGGCCAGTCACACAGGTGAGGGCTGGTCCTTGAACAAACGACTGGGGAATGGCTGTTTGGCCCTGCTGGAACTTTACTTCACTGGGGGGCCTCTCTTGGTTTTTCTTTGAGTATTCTGTTTCCAAAGCACAATTCACCCCCCCACACCCATTCTTTTGAAGAAAAGGGACTAATAATTGTCCAGCACCTATCATGTGCCAGCCATGGTGCTCGGTGCTTTACATCTGTGACACCACTTACTTCCCACAGATCTCGCCAAGGGGACACTGTGAGCGCAGCTGTGCAGCCCGGGAGACAGATTCAGGAAGGTGGGGCCATCTTCTCAGGATCACCCAGCTGGTGTGGATCAGAGCTGGGACTGTCACCCAGTGCTGTCCAAACAGGCCACACTGGCATTTTTGTTATTGGTAGGACATTTTAGTCTTCAATAAAGTTGTAAATTATCTCTAACTCGTGAACCAGGATGTTGGCATGCTGACCTGCTCTTTCAGAAAAAGAAATGCTTTATTTTTTTGTTCCTGAGTAACTGAGCTGCTGCATCCTAGTATTAAAAATCTTTTCCCAGGTCACTTGGGTATGATGTCAGAAGGGTACAACATGGCCACCCTCACTCATGTGGTCTTTTTTCTCCTCTTTTTCCTGAGGCACCTGGCCTCCTTTAAAGATCTTCCCCTGCTGTCACCACAGTATGTTTCCTGGAGGAGGTTACATATAAAACCAGCCAGTATGTGGCTGCTGAGGTGAAATTAGCAATGACAGGGAAGGAACTGTGATTTGGATGAAACCTGATGTGGTTAGAAACCTGGTGTGCGTGGAGTCCCAAAGATTTCAGATGAGTTATGGTAGTCTCCCAAAGATCCCTGGTCCCCACTCACCCAGTGCTACCATAGCAGGTAGATGTCCTCAGTATCATTTGAGAATATCTGGCCTCTCAGACAGGTATTTGGGCCACCAGCCCTTTTTAAGAGTAGGTAAAAGTTTTGAGTACCTGAAAGGTCTTCATTTTTTGCACTGGGAAGACAACTTGACCAACCTTTCCGTAAGTAGAATGAATGATAAAGATGAAGGTCTTTGCAACCTTAGGGCCTGTTCTTTTAAATCTCTTTTAAGGCTCATAAAAGCAAGGAATAGTAGGGAGAGAGACGGGGAGAATGAGCTCTTAGCATGGGCTGTGATGGGGAAAGCCTGAGATTCCGGCGGTGTGACTTTGAGTAGACGTCACTTCAGCTCTCTTGAGTCCCAATTTTCTCTTCTGCTATTTGGCAATAGTAATGCTCTCTCTGCCCTGTCCCATCTCCAGGTGGCTGCTGTAATTCACAACAGAATTAAATGAGACTACATTTAGGATTTTGGAGCAGAGTCCCAACACAGCATAAACCACTTCACTTTTTTTTTCATAATTATTGCAGAAATGCCAATAATCTGAAATTGGAGGAGAGGGAGAGTCTAGAGCTGAGCTTAACATTTTTATGGTGTTTTTACCCAACAAAGTGGTTGGGCAAAGTCAGGGGGCCTGGGTTGTACTTCAGATTCTGCCCTAAACTCTATGTCTTCTTTCTCTGGGTCTTCCTTGCTATAAAATGAAGGGATTAGAATAGCGTTTTGTTTTTTTTTTCCCTCTATGGTCCTTTTTGACTCCAACAGGTCACAATTTCTATCTCTAAGTGGAGGATTAGAAGCAACTTTTAAGAGATGAATGAGTTTTTAATATTTAGCTATTCAGACATTAAACAAATATTTAATAAATTCCTCCCACATGTTAGGCACAGCTGTAGGTGAAGGGTGCAGAGTGACAAACAAAACAGCTGTAGCCCCTGCCCTCCTGGACCTTCTAGTCTATTACAGAAGATTCAGGGGAACTTTCCCATCTCAGGTAGTTGAAGAAGTGCCAGAGCTCCAAGGAGAAGGCTGTTAGCTAAAAGAGCTATGCTGGACATGTAATAAATGCCCAAATATTCACTGAACAAATAAATCAATGCAAGCACCTAAGGAAGCCCTTGGGGGGGCCCTAGAGTTGGGGAACAGTTCTGAGGAGTCAGGAAAGGTGGGAGCTCGGGCCAAGGGTGTGTGCCCTTGCTAAATAATTTGTTGAGACACTGGAGAATGAAAGGATCTGCCCCTGCCTTCCTGGTTATCAAGGGGACCATTTGCTGGGAACAAGGAACAGGGATGGCTTCCCATGCCCTGTCATTCCCCCAGAGGTGGAACTGGTGCAGATACTAGAATCCAAGCGGAGAAGCGAAAAGCAGCCATAAGAAAAATGCCAGAGTAGTGTGACACTGGGGCCAAGCCTGGAGGATCCTGAGAAGTTATGGACTCTCATCTCTACCCAGTCAAGAAAGAACTGGGACCCAGTTGGAGCTGAAGGCCCCAAGCAAGTTGGCCCCAATGCAATGATCAGGAGGCTGCCTGGGGAGGTGGGAAGTACCTGGGCTTAAGAGTTGGCGACTAATTTGGGTTTGAAGGCTGTGGAGCAAATCTGGGACACATAACCTCTCTGAACCAGCTTCCTCATCTGTTAAATAGACACCACAATGTGTTGGCCTCTCTAAGATGTCATTAGCAGTGATATGTCTCAGGCACCAAAATTCAGTATCTTGGACTAACTGTAGACTTGATGAGTTATTTATAATGATTACATTATCAGGTCTTGGGACCTCTTTCTGTGTAATATTGAAAGACAGTGCTAGGAACAACTTCAGTGAGAAAACTTAGAAGGGTTTTCAATGTTAGTGAAATAATAAGACAAGATTGAGTGGATTTAGAGGGATTTTGCTCTGGCTTAACTCACGCATTAAACCAGCTGTCTGACCTTACATAGACATTTTGCCATCTTTGAGACTTGCTTTTCTACTCTGTTAAATGGGAATATGTTTCATACTCAATCTTTTTTTATCCATCCAGAAAACATTTTATTGAATGCCTATTATGAGCCATCTTATGCTTGGTGCTGAGGACATATTCCTGTCCCTAAGGGGCTCACCATCTAGATGAACAGACCATTAAACAGAAACTTACAATAGAATGTAGACAGGCCTAGCCCTGTCTGAGTGGACAAGGAAGGTTTCCTGGAGGAGGTTACATACAAAACCAAGACCTGAAGGAGGAATAATATTTAACCAAGTAAAAGTAGGAGAGGAAGTAAGAAGCTGCGAAGGCACTCCAGGAAGAAGAAATTGCATGTGCAAAGGCCAGGAGATAAGTGTGCACAGATGAGATAATGTGGCCTTTCCACAGTGTGGACTTGATATAAAGGTAGTGGGAGACCACTGAGAGATTTTAAGCAAGGGAGTTGGAGTAATATCATCACATTTGCATTTTTAGGAGTTATTCATGTGTCAAGTTATATTATAAAGAGGGGGCAGTTGGAATAAGTTGATTCTTTCCTCCTCTTTCTGCTCCTCCTCCTCCTTTCCTGTCCACATAAGATGAAGTAACCTATGTGCTCATGCCTGGTGTATTGTCTGACATATAGTAGTTGTCCTATTAGCATATATTTTCCCCCTTCTTGAACATACTATTTGAAAGAGAAACCCCCTGGCATGAAGTACAAGTTGGAGCAAAAATGCTGAGGGTGTGGCTGTTGGGTTTTCTGGCTGCTGTTGGGGTCTAGCCGACAGGATTTAGGTCAAAGGAAGTTCCCCAGACAGTGCAGTCTCAAGCAGTCATCAGTTCAGAGAGGGCAGGTGAAGGTCATAATACCACCCCTGTTTCTGGAGGTCACTCTTCCTGGTCTTGGAAAATTACAATAGATGGTAATTTGTCCGTGGTAGCTTCTTCATCTGTAAAATGGGTATGTGGTTACCTGTGCTGCCAACCACATAGGGTTGTTGTGAGGATCAGAAGTGTGTGTACCACAACAGAATAATATGGTAGCTTCTACGCATTAATGCCCACCTTGGGCTAGGCCTTGTTTCATGAAGCTGGTATTAACATTATCTCTATTTTACAGACAAAGAAGCTGAAGTTCAGAGAAATTATGCAGTCACTCCAGGGCACATTATAAGTGGCCAGAGCCCCGGCATATTAACCACTACACCATGACACCATGACCTGCTGTCTCTTAAAAACCACCAACTGCTCCCTGAGCTCTTAGCATGATGCAGGTACTCCAGAAATGTATGAAGAAAGGTGGAAAAAGGAAGGAAAGGGGCAGTGTTTGAAGTCTGAGAAAGTCTTTCCTAATGCCTCTCCACCCCACTCCCCAAATTCCCAGATGCAATAGGGGAAATGGTTCCTTGTTCCATATTAAAATGACCTGTTACCCATCTGGCGCTCCACAAATATTTGTGAATAAATGTGTTCTGTCACTGTGTGGATCTTCTGTCCAAGCTTTCCTCTTGGCCGAGAGGTCTAAAGCAAGGGAGCTGGGACTTATGGGAAAGTCCTCAAAGGTCATGGAGCACAAGCTGGCAGAGGTCCAGAGAAAGGTCAGTGTGTCAGCCCTGGGCCAAGCCTGACACTGTCCTTCCATACCCCTGGATGGACTTGGAGGGCTAAGGTGGCCTATCCATTCCTGCCCAACTTCTCCATGGGACCTGATGCTGGTGGGCTGAGTGCACAGCACAATGCCCACCTGTCACATGAGGAAACCTAAGGGTTTGCTGGTAGATCTCAGTTGTGCAAGCCACTATATGTCTTGGTGGCTTAGCTGGGCCCACCTGGCTGATGGATGGTTGACAAGTCGCATGAGAATCAGAACAGTCCTCAGGCACATTGAGAAAGCAGTTTCCTTCCTTGCCCTGGGCAGGAGCTGGGCCAGAGAAAGTGAAGAAACCAGTTCAGGGCCTCTGCGGGGTGGGCGTGGGCAGGGCCCTGCCCGGAAAGGGGCTGCTGGACCAGTTTCCATTACTTCAGGACCGGATGTAGTCCTGTGACTCTGGCGGAGGCTGGAGAAATGTGTGCCCTGGGCGCACCTGTATGTCCTCCAGGGCGGCCCTGGATTTGATAATGATAGGACTAGGGGCTCTAGGTCAGCGGTCACCGGGCGTGCGACATCCGGTTGCTAAATTAGGCAAACAGGAGGGCCAGTAGCGAATCAGCTGACAGGTAGAACTAGAAGAGGCTGTGGACATCCAGTGGGAAGGTGAAGGAAAATGAGGGAAGGGGCGGTGCAGAGCAACAGCAGGGTAATCGTGCGCCTCTCCTGACGTCACACCCACGCAGGTTGAACCTTATCCTTTCGCCTCTGGCTGCGCGTTTGGGTGGGAAGATCCCTCAGAGTTGCATTGGAATCCCAGCTGTACCACCTGGGGCTTTTGTGTTCTTGGGACTTTGCCTATCTGAGACGAAGTTTCCCCTGATGAAAAAGTGGGAATACCATCTCAAAGCGTGGTGCAAGAAGTCAGTCAAGTAACATAGGAACAGTGCCTAGCACATAGTAGGTGCACATAAAGCGCAGTTACCTTTCCCTTCTCCAGGATCCAGATCTCACCCCCTAGCCCGGGAAGTCGCGACCCACAGGCGACCCTGGGGACAGCGAGGTTTGGGTGGCAGGAGGCGTGGCCTGGTTATAACTCGCGGATCATTAGAGGCTCTGTTAGCCAAACTATCAGATAGGATGGGGCCTGGGGGAGGATCCTGAAAGCTGCCTTTGGATCATGTTTCTGTGATCCTAGGAAGGCATTTCACTGCATTCTTTCATTCACGTATTTATTTATTCACAGATTCTTATCAGGCCTCTGTCTGCCTCCCCCAGCGACGGGCCGCGCCCAACAGCCTGTCCTCCATACAAGGTCAGCTTCCACCGGCTGTTCTTTGTGTAAATAAAGCCACGGCCTTCCGCCTGCAGGTCGCAGCGGAGGAGGCAGCCACCGGTGGCCTGGGGAGGCTGGGAGCCAGCCACGCCCAGCCCGCGCGCAGGGGCGGGGCGCTCTGCGGCCACAGTGTGGAGCCAAGGGAAGAAATCAGGTTTAGACCGTCAGTTCTCACCCCTGAGCACCCTCATCCATTGATCACCCAGGAAGTGGCAGGCCCTTGCCAAACATCATCCCGAATCCTCCCAACGACCCTGCAAGGAGTATGCTCCCCATTTTACAGACGGGAAACTGAGGCTCAGCAAGTTTAAATGACGAAGCTCCCACAGGCAAAAATATTGCAGAACAAGAAATTATAACCGAATATATCTGGTTGCAAAATCCGGTCTTTTCTCCTCCTCACTTGTCATCAGACTGTAAAGGTCTTACCGCGGAAAAATAAAAAAATAACCACAACAAATCAGATTAACAGACGAACGGGAGTTGGCAAGGCCTTCCAGAGCTTCCTTGAGTGTCTAAAACAGGGGGACTTGAACCACAAACTATTTTTCCGGGGTGACAATTTTACTCCCCTTTAAATGAAAAAGTATAGATTCTTAGTGAAACAAATAATGGTGGATAAGAATATAAAACGCCCAGAATTATTTTAGCTGAAATTAAGGGACTTTCGGGCTGTTTACACAGTGTTCACCTTCGCTCGATTGTGCAGAAACTTTTCTGACCCCATTTACACAGACGGGCAAGCTGAATCCGAATCCCGCCCGGAGCGAGGGGCAGAGGGGAGAACCGAGATTTCCGTATTCTGGGCTTCGGGTGCTTTCTGCTGGGGGCGGCGGTCCTGTTTGCAAACAGGTTTCCTCGGACAACTTATGCTGATTTTTGTCACTCAGCCAGCCAAGTGGGGGCTATTCTGAGTAATCACAGGCAACCGGCGCGGCTGGGGGTAAAAGCGAAAGGGACACGCGGCGACCAGCTGGGAGGGCAGCGGGTGGAGAGCCCCGGCGCCGGCGCGGGTTCCTAGCTTCTAGCCCCGAGTCTCGGTCTTCCCCGCCGCCCCGCCTGCGCAAGAGGCGAGCCCCGGGGGGCCCACACCCCTGCTCCAGGCCCGCTAGACCTCGCCTCCGCAGACCCTAGTCCCAGCAGGGTTAGCAAGATGGGTCTGGACTCCTGGCCGGCCCCTTGAGAACCCACTTTTTTGGGGACAGTCAGTTTGCAGGCCTGGGATTAAATCCTCTCCTGATACTTACTAACTATAATGAGTTAAAAGTCTTTACTCTCAGTTTCTTCATCTGTAAAATGGGGGTTAGCAGCATATAATTGCTGTGAGAAGTAAATGTATGCCTATCTATAAAGGCCTAGAACATTAAAAAAGAAAAACAATTAAATGCCATGTTTTGCTACTATTGTTAGCCGGCCTGGGTAGGAATCTTAGGCCAATTAAGAATTAATAACCTAGAAAGATGTATTTTCTTCAGGTCACTGCAGGGGAAAGGGAGCTTCATTACACTGCCCCCCAGGGTGTGGTGAGGGCAGCTGAGATCCTCAGCATCTGCAGGTCCATCTGTTATGTCTGCAGCTCTCATTTTTTGCCATCGCTCTCTTAACTCTGCCCTTGATAGTTTGCTTAATTCTATACTTACAGTATGAGAGAAGTTTTACTGTTGTCCCATTGCACAGGTATGAAACTGAGTGTAGAAAGATTAAGTGATTTATCTAAATCACACAGCTACCTAGTAGGATTTTCAGCCACAAAATCCAGCTTTGTATTCCATGTTCCTGATCCCTACTGGATGTGCCAGGCACTATGTTATGCCATGGGGATGCAGCCAGGAAGAACATCACACAGTTACTACTTCCTCAGTAAAAGGCAGGGTCTCTTTTCTGAGTTTACTGGACTTCCTTACATATGCTAAGCATTGCATGCCCCTTATTATATTTTATATGCACATTGTGTAGACCTTGTACACAGGCGGTATTCAACATTGTTAGTTTCCCTCTTCCTGTATTTTTTTTTTTTTGGATCCAGTTACAAATATGTGGCACATGGACATTAGGTGTTCTGGATGATATAGCATTTGGTGTCTAGTATGTGGGCTATGCATACCTGAGTTCCTCCCTCCCTGTACTTAGTGATCTTCCAGTTTAATTGACTGAAACAGCACACGCTTAAGGTTTAGACCTTTCAATAATAATAATTGCTTCTGCCTCTGAGAATTACTGTCTGTGCTGTGGGGTTCCCAGAACTGAGGGTGAATTTACTGTATTTATCACTTAATCATTTCCAAAACAGTTTATGACTACATCTTTAGTCAAAGGTGCAAAATTCTCCCTCTCCTACCCTCTCTCTTTGGGGTCCCTGTGATAACTCTTGCTAGAAATGGCTAAAGCTATTAAATATAAAATGTAGATCCTCCTGTGATGCAAGTGTAAGCTGTCATTACATTCATCGAGTAAATGTTAGGATCATTTCAAGCTTGGCTTTTGCATTTAAGGTTTTGAGTTAAATGTGGAAAGTAAGAAAAAAGAAGCCTAATAGTTGGAAATAAAAATGTGCAATGGGTAGGTTTCCAGAGTAATAAAAAACAGCTTTAAATTTTAAAAGATTTTAAGCCTGGTCTGGTTCCAGGCAGCATACCTTAAGTTCCCATCATTCAGCATGGCTGTGTTCTAAAGGGTCAAAACTGCCTTTAGACAATTCAGGAAATTCAACTGACACCCTAGCATGAAATAGCTGAGTTTCTCCATGTAAATGAGAAGGCAGTGGAGAGCATTCAGCACATAGTAGGCACTCAAGGGGAAGCTAAGATTAAGGACTTGGATGCAGATAAAAACTTTATATTCAACAGACATTTATTAAGCACCTACTATGTGCCAGTTGCTTGCAAGTCCATTATTCAAATACACTTCACAATAAGCCTCTGAGGAAAATACCATGTTATAGAAAAAGAAGTTGACAGTCCAAGAGTGAATAAAATTGCCAATTTCTCTAGAAAATAAGGGGCAGGGCCTGAGCTGGAATTTGGATCTGACTCCAAGTTCAGTGTCTGAAGCACCACACTACTGTACTTTTTTCTGTATGCTTAGCTGTTGGTCACCTTAGACCGGGAGGCTAGAATCAGAGACTTTAAAATCACCTTAACAAGGGTTTCTCTGCCTCTTTTATAATCCAGGTCACCCTAGGTAAACACAAAAATCTTAGTTTCTTAAGGAGTTTCAAATTCAAAATACTTTTTTAAATATCATGATTCAAAACAAATCAAAGTAAAGGGACAAAGTTTTTTAAAGCAAACTAAGCCTCCTTAGAGCTTCTGGTTCAGGCTCCTGAGTTCCACTCACCCCGGTGGAGACTCCTGATCTGCACCCCCCTCACCTTGGTCATTTGCTTCCCAGGAAATTGAGACCAGAGAAGAGTAACTTGCAAGTGACCTGATCAGCTCTTTAACTCAGGTCTGCTCATTCCAAGTAGTGTCTTTTGTCTAAACACCTGCTCAGTCTCCAGTTTGGTCTTTCACATGCCTCAGCTCAGGATCCACATTTCAGATGGACTTT